TTGTTTCAGGGATTTCAAATCATTTTATATAGTAGACAACGGAAGTCCGAACTAGTGAAACTCATACTAATAGTAGGTACAAAAAGTAAACATTTCTGCTCAAAATTATGAAAATAAAACTCAAATCAAAACAAATACTCATCAATTCATAACATTATACTATTTATATGATATAAAAGCTTGTCGAGATTTACCTGTGTATAGATAAACAAGAATACAATACGTAACTTAATCTTGACATTAATATGTCTAAGATAAAAATTATGTGTTTTTTATAAAATAGGTGAATCTCGCCAAAAACTTTCATGTCATATAAAGTCTTTTCCGAGCAGGCAAGTAAAAGTTTGTTCTTGAAAATGTTTTAACTATTACTTTATGTCTGACTTGAATGTTCATTATTTTCTCAACTTTTTTCGACATCTATAATAGAATAAATATTAACTGGACAAAATTCATCATGATTTGATACATTACTATTTTGTGAGGCAATAATCCTTGTTCTGACAAACAAGAATTCATTACATTCGTTGAAAGCGACAAAATTAGGGGACAACACAGTATAGTATCATTTCTATATTGATTGAGAGTGAACCTATAGTGAAGGTCCTATTCATAACAAAGATTTCTGAACTTTAAATATAGTGAGTGTTTATCTAATATCTCATCTATAAAAGTTCAAAGCTTTTCATTTGAAAATGTATCCTTCTGGTACCAAAAATTCAGAGAAATTAACATCCAGTGTCTTTGAAAATTTCAAATCCTTGTTCTACCCGTTAGCTTGAAGCTCATGAATCATAAAACATAATTGACAGTTTATATTGAGAATATATTCCACGAAGCTTCATGGTTTTCAATTATATTACATTGTTTGCAGAATGTCACACAAAACATGCACAAGAGAGGACTTCGGTTCGATATTTCCGTGTATACAAGGATCCCAAGATTAATTGGATATAATTGTTCCCATATGCAGTTGATTGATTGCTTGTTCGCTGAACGAAATTATCTCAAACACCGTACTCATAACCATCAGTCAACTTTGAATTCAGCCTTAGAGGACTTCCAAGGACATGTCACTACAATTACATAGTGGTCCAAAATAATGTTATTAATTTCAAGTATAACATTTCTTATTTTTTGTGTCAGATAATTCAGTTTGACCATTGGAAAAAATTGAATTCGAGGAAATTAAGAAGTTGGGTTGCTTCTTCTTCTATTACAATCTTCAGTACCTGACAATTCAATCTGATTGAATGTTGATTTCAATAACATTCAAGACAAAAGATAAATTATCAGTAAAACGGATCTCCTTGTACTTTTAAGGAAGTACATATTTGAAGTACATATTCGTGTTCAATGTCTGTCGTGTTGACAATATTGACATTTGAAGAAGAAACAAATGCATAGAATTGTTTTTTATAGAACGGTAACCAAGAAGTTCATCATTCCAACTCCTGAGGACAAATACCCTATGAATGATGTCTTTTTCCATTATCAACTATTGTCTGACATTTCCCTTTCTGGAACTACGGTTTCATGTAATCTACTATTATATTTTTTGTTTTAGCTTTCTGCACGACGTATCTAGTATTCAGTAATTCTTTCTTCCCCACAACTGGGTCTCTGGAGGATAATACCAGCATAATTCAACTTAGTTCAGCAATATGATGATAATGTCTGGTAAATCGTCCCTGACATACATAGATAAAAAATAGGACTTATTTTTGCCCCCACTGGGGTACCAAAGTTTTCTTTATAGAAATTTTTCTTAATGTCTTATCTTAAACCAGCTTCTAGATAGACGTTACTAAATAGTGAGGCTACATCTAAACTTGCTAAGACAAAACCTTCGGGGAGTTGCTTTTTACACGCTTTATTATTACAAAAAATGAAAAATAAAAATNTAGTGAATCAGCACGCTATCAGATGTAACGAGTTCTTTGCTCAAGTTGAAAGCCTTCTGACACTCTGCCGACCAGTTTGACTCAAAAATGACTCCTTCTTTACATAAATCATATAATGGCTTAACCTGTGTGGATAACATGAGTATATATTTTTCATAGTAATTAAGTAGACCTAAATACGATGTTGATCTATAATACGCCCTAGAAACTCTAAATTATCTTTAAAATATTTAAATTTATTTTTACATATTTTTTATATATTATTGAAAACGCTTAAATACTTTAATTTAATTTTTGTAACAATTTTTTGTAACTATTACACAAAAACATTTTTGCCCTCCCAAACAAGCAAAAATGTCCTCAGGGATGTCCTCAGAAATTCGTATATCTTCTGAATTCTTTTTAGGAACAATGACTATTGGACTTGACCAGTTACTGAAACTTACTTTTGAAATGACACCTTGTTTTTCCATTTTCAATTCAACTTTTATTGATTCATCTTTATTTTGGACTATTACTTCATCACTATCAATTTTTATTTTACTGGTGAATGGTGGACAAAACCTAGACTTACAAACTTGGTTATCTTGACTGAGATGCCTTAGATTAAACATATTTTTCCAATTAGGACTGATAATATCAAGCCAATTTCTCCCTAATAATGGTGTAAGAAAACGTTGTTATATAAAACATTGACAACAAATTCACCTACAATATTTACGTTTTGGCCAGTTACAACCTTTAGTTTATATTTAAGAGGACATAATACATAAGAACTGAATAACTTTTTATATGTAGATACATGTATAACTGTTTTACACGCACCTGAGTCCACTTCAAAATTCAGGAGCTTGTCTTCGACATTCATGATTACCTTCAAACTGTTTCCTGCTCCTTTCTCAATTTTTGCAATAAATCCCAGTTCTAAAGAGTTTTCTTCGTTTTGAGACTCCTCACATAACTCAACATCTGCATTTAATGATTTAACAACTGCACTGCGACAAACCCTACTTGTGTGGCCTTTTTTGTGGCATTTGAAGCACTCCCATAATTTCGCTGGACAATTTTT